GGAAATGAGCATTACAAATATTATTTTATTTGGTCCTCATAAAACCCCTGGGAGGTAGGTGCTGTTATTATCTTCACTTTTCACTTGAAAAAACTAAGGCAGGCAGAGGTTTAGTGGCTTACTAAGGCATACCCAGCTAATGTCTGAGAGCAGATTTGAACCCAGATCTTTCCAACTCTAGTCCCAGCACTCTATCCACTGCACTGTCTAGCTGTTTCTTGCAACCTTTGAAGATCAGTGTTTGAGAGTTCACCCTTCCTCAAGGTGATCTATTCCCCCTTTGGATATCTCCAGTGGTCTGAAAGGTCTTCCTCATATTAAATGAAAAGTGTCCCCTTTTGCCACTTACCTCCATTGGTCCCTATTCTGTTCTCTTGTGTGAGGCAGAAAAAGTCTCAATTCCCTTCCATGTTGTAACTTCTCACATACTCAAAGGCAAATGTTACCCCTTCCCTCTCAAGTCTTCCCTTCATTAGGGTCCTAGTCCTTCATAGTTTTGAGGGGAAAGTGGGCTGGTAAACTATAAGGCAGCAAATATGGACTGGTCTGTGTTCTTTTCCAGTGCCCCTACAATGCCGTGGAGGTAGTAGTAGTAGTAGTAGTAGTAGTAGTGGTGGTGGTGGTAGTAGTAGTGTTAGTAGTGATAAATAGTAGCAGTAGTAGTAGTAGTAGCAGCAGCAGTAGTAATAGTGGTAGCAATAAAAGTAGAAGTAGTAGTAGTAGCAGTTAGCATTTATACAATACTTTAAGCTTTGCAAAGATTGTCCATGTTATTTCATTTGATTGATTACAATCCCGGGAAGTAATTGCTATCATTACCCCCATTTTACTAATGAGGAAATTGAGACACACAGTGGTTAAGTGACTTGCTCAGGGTCAGACAGTTAAGTGTTTAAAGGAGAATTTGAATTCAGGTCTTCCTGACTTCAGGTCCAGGGTTTTATCCACACTGCCGCCACACTTCTTACGTCTTTTCCATCATTAACTGCTCCTTATGAAAAGGGCTTTAAGACAGTGTGTCTTACAAAGGCATTTGTGTTTAATCCCAAAGCTTATGAAAAGGGCAGTCAGGAAGGGCCCAGACTAAGAGAAAAACTAGAGATAGTTCTACCCAACCTTATCTTCCATTCCTCTTCTATGGGCAGTCTCCATACACCATAGACATTTCACCTCAGTGTTTTTGCTCAATTTGTTTTTCCTTTTTCCGATACCACTCATCTCTCCTTTACCTCTTTACTTCCAATCAATCCTTCAAGGACCAGTTCAAATTCCATCTTTTTTTTTTCCCATGAAGCTTTCTCTGAATGCTCCAGTCCATGGTGAATTCTCACTCTAATGAGCCTCTCCAGCTCTTCAGGTAGTGAGTGAGCCAGCATTTGACACTTAGAATATATGTCCCAGTTGCTAGGGTTCAGCAGTCAGGAACAGTTCCCAGGAGTGCTTGAGACACTGAGGTAGCATAAAGTTGGAGGCAGCATGATTTTGGGGGGAGGACAATAAGATCTAAGATTTTTATACACCTTTGGTATCTTCCCCTCCAAAAACTTCATCAATCCATCCCAGTTATGTTTCCTTGAGCACATATCTCCTCTTTAGTATCTTCCCCTCCAAAAACTTTGTCAATCAATCTCAATTATGTTTTCATGAGCACGCATCTCCTCTATATATACTTGGTCCAATCCTTATATTTTTGTCATCTTTGTTCCCTTAAGTACCATTGCCATCTCCCCTATAAATCCATCCAGGACTGTGATGTTAGGGTTCAAATATGGTATTTCCACTGTTTCTGATGGAAAAACAATTTGTTAAAATTATTTTTGCAAATCTTTTCCATTTCTTCTTATGTTTGTAGTCCTTCCATTTTCATCTTTCCATGTCCTTGGGAATGACTTTGTTTGAGTGGTGATTTTGCCAAGCTTTTTTTAAACTAGGTTTACCCTCCACTGTTTCTTCCTGCTTTATGAGAGGCTGCTACTCATAATTGTTCATCATCCTTCTTTGTAAGATTTACAAAGAAGTTTATAGTCTAAGCCAATGTTGTCTTTGGAAACCATGTCACTCTGTTTTGGTAAGTTAAATATTTACTTATTAAGAAATTTTCTAGGCTCTTTTGGTCTTTTTGTTGTGGCAATTAATTTTTATTGGTTGATTTTTGTTTGCTGATGATATGGTGGTTTACTCGGAAAATCCTAGGAAATCGGCAAAGATACTAATCGAAACAATAGTTTCAGCAAAATTGAAGGCTACAAAATAAATCCTCCAAAATCAACAGCATTTCTATATAATAACAAAATATAAGCAGCAATAGTAGAAAGGAAAATCCAATTCTCAATAACTACAACATGAATATAATATCTGGGGATCAGCCTACCAAAGAACACAAAAGACTTGTATAAAGCCAATTCCAAAGTGTTTATAAAAGAAATAAAGAACAACCTAAATAGCATGTGGACTATTCAGTGTTCATGGCTAGGCCATGTCAATATAATAAAAATAATAAAAAAATATTAATTTAAACTTTTAATGCCATATCAATCAAATTACCAGAACTTGATAAAATAATAACAAAATTCATTTGTAAAAATAAATGATCTAGAATAACAAATGAAATCATGACAATAAATAGGGATGAAGAGTAAATAGTGCTTCCAAAACTCAGACTATATTATAACGCAGTAGTCATCAAAACCATGTGGCATTGGTTAAAGAACTAAAGGATAAATCAATGGAATAGACTAGACAAGGAAGATTAAGAAACAAATAGAACTCAATAAAGCAGTATTTGATAAAGTAGAAAACGTAATTTATCTAGGGGGAAAAAACTCCTCATTTGATTTTTTTTAAAAATGCTGGTTAATTTTAACCTCCCAGTGCTCTAAGCAATTTTCTAAGTCTATTAAGTTTTGGACATGGTGCTCCCTCTATTTTTCCTCACCCCAGAATTGCCCATGCCAATGAAATCACAGGTCCGGTCTCTATGTTGTGATATTTGATAATAGACCACATCTTTATCATCTCACAATTAACTGAAAGATGTAGAGAAAATAAGGTCCCATTGTACTTATCATTTGTCAGTTATGAAAAAGCTTTTGATTTGATAGAACAAAGACACTGCCTTATAGACTTTTCTAGAGTAAAGAGTCTTCCATCCATAAATCAGAACCATTCAAGATTCCCTGGAAGATAAAACAACAGAAATAACACTGTTCTTGTAAAATAAAAAAAAAATTAGGCAAGGAGTAAAATAAATAGCTATTTATTCACTAAATGTTTTTACCACTGTGTTGGAAAAGATTAAGCATAGAATCCAGGTCAAAGAGCATCCCCAGTGGATGGTGAAGCCATGCAGATGCTTTTTTTCCAGTAACATTGCCTCCATCAAACTCCAGAATATTGCAGAACCTTTGGTAGAAGACATCTACTCCTAAGGGTTTTGATTAACCATCCACACAGGAAAGAGCAAGTGGATGAAGAATGTCTATCACCCAGACTTCCACTTGTATTTAGATGGACACCCTATGGAGTCTCTCCATAAGTACGCATATCAAGGACAGACAGTATAGATGGACAATAAGTTGGGCTTAGATTTGAACAGAAGGAGGAGAGTCGACTGGATTGCATTCAGGAAACTGAAAGACTCCTTCACTAACAACAAGCTTCCCATGAAAACAAAAGGGGGAATAAACATTTATATAGTATGTAGAATGTACCAGATTCTGCTAAATGCTATTCACAAATATTATCTCATTTGATACTCAAAAAGGCCCATCTTTTTTTTTTTAAACACAACATTCTACAGGTGTCATTATGACAGTGAGTTGTGGAACATAATTGCCTCCAGAAAATTAAAAATGATTATCACGGGGCAGCTCAGTGGCACAGTGGATAGAGCACTGGCCCTGAAGTCAGGAGGACCTGAGTTCAAATCCGGCCTCAGACCAAACACTTGACACTAGCTGTGTGACCCTGGGCAAGTCATTTAACCCCAATTGCCTAAAAAAAATGATTATCACACAAAGGGCAATGGAGAGGCACATGGTGGGGGTGAGCAGGATATATCATATAATGCATCAGCAACTCCTAAAAATTGGAGGAAAAGAGTCCCCAAGATTATGATTGGAAGAAAAGGTGGGATGATCACAGTGAGATGAGATGATCACAGTGAAGCCGTGAGGTTACAGCTGGACAGTCCACCTTTTCTCTGTCCTCTCCGGGGACCCTTAAAGATGTTGGAAGAAAAGAGGCAGCTAGGTGGAGCAGTGGATAGTGCACCGGCCCTGGAGTCAGGAGGACCTGAGTTCAAATCCAGATTCAGACATAAAACGCTTACTAACTGTGTGATCCTGGGCAAGTCACTTAACCTCATTGCCCAGCCAAAAAAAAAAATGTTGGGAGAAAGCAAGAAACATCTCCAGGATGTTAGGTGACACTCCATCCCACCCCACCCAGCCCCACCATGGTGAACTGAAGAGAGAGGATATGGGCAAAGAGTCACCGAGATGGGCAGGCATGGATGGGTTGCATCCGATTTGCATCATTGGAGGGAATTTCCAAATTAATCAAAACAGATCCATTTAAATATTTGTGTAATGTTATCTTAGTGTTACCTTAGTGTCTCCCACATACTAGATATTTAACAAATATTTGGCGACTTGAACCAAAAAGCCACAGGAAGCTATTTCCCTCCAAACTCCCAGGAATTAACTCTCCTACCCAGGCCTGGAAGTAGCACCTTTCCTGGTGGTTTTCAGATCTTTTTGATCTCTTAAGTTTAGAGGATTTTTTTTTCTAGTTACTCTTGGTTTTGATATTATGGCTGAAAGTTATTCTTGAAATTTTTCCTAAGAAATCCACCTTAAAGTCACAGGACTTGGCAATAGTGTGTTTTATTCCTTCCCTTTTCCAGGCCATTGGATTCCTCCAGCTGTGTGGCACACCTTTCTGGGGAGCTCACTCAGTCTAAAAGAATCTGTATCCATTTGTGTGGGGGTGGCACTCACCTCTCCATTGGTCCAGCCCTCTGAAATCAGGGACCTCATTTCGTCTGAGCATGCTCTTACTAAGGTCCCCAGCAGCCAAGGCTATAGAGGAAGGGAGGAGCAGAATCCTGGGATGACAATGGAAAGGCAAGGACCTTACATCTCCTCCAGTCCAATCTCCCTCATTTTGCAGATGAGAAAACTGAGTCCCATGGAAGGACGATGACTTGTCTAAGGTCACACAAGTGGAATGGCCAGTATTTGAAGATAGGTCCTCTGATTCCAAAACCTGGGCTTTTCCTACCTTTATTCCACAGAAGGTAACAGGCAGCAAGTCCACACCCAAAGTCACCAACTCCTCTGCAACCCCCAGAAGCGTTGGGGGTGAGAGGATGAAAAGGAAGATGAGAGAGATTCCCTGCACAAACACAGAATGCTGGGATAAAGACAAGCCACCATTACCAGACCATCCTACTGCTTCAGAGCACCCTCAGCCATCACCTCATTTCCTCCTCTCCCTCCCAACTTTGTCTAATAACTTCTTTTTTTTTTAAAGCTGGACTCACAACAAGATGGCTGCCCCTCCACAAGTTTACAGAAACACAGGGGACCAGATCAGAAGTGTGTGGATCTCTCTGCTGGTCTAACTGCTCTGTTGTTAATTCTCAAGAGGGAGGAGCAAAAGCTAAAATAGTGTTTAAAAATGGGAGAAAGAAAACTTTACTCTTTTATATTCCCCCACCCCCTCCCGACGTGTTCACATCTGCCTCTCTTATACCTGGGTCGGGGACAGGAGTCTCTCCTAAAGCCTGTTCTCCCCATTCCCGACCTGCTGAGACTCCCCTCCCCCTCCTAGGTCATATGGTCACCCTCTCCAAAGAGATGGGTCTCAGCTGCCCCCCACCTCTACCCCTACCCCCCAGCAGAAAGCAAAACAAAATCCTGGTGAAATCGATAAATTACCTGTTAATGCATTCAACTCAAGCAGCTAAGAGCAGGCTGGGGGAGGGGAGGAGAAAGGGGTGGGAGAGGAGTCAAGATAAAGTATCCCCTGAGGATGACAAGCCTCCACAGCTGGCTTTCATTCCAGAGCTCCACCACCGACCCCTAGGAAATTCCTAGAAAATAACAGCTTCTCCAAGCTGTAGTGCTCCAGCCCAGCTCTCCCCCCTTCCCATTCATCATCCCTCCCCTTGGCCTTTCCTCTCCCAGGGCTTAGGTTGGAACTGGAGGTCAATCAATCACCAAGCGTTTACTCAGCCTGCCCAGTACCCAGCCCCATGCCGGGGAAGAGACAATAGCATCAGAGCCTCTAGCTCTGGAAAACAACCTTCAGTATCATCGAGTTCAGCCTCTTCTTTTTACAGATGAATAAATAGAGGCCCAAAAAGATAAATGATAGCTACTATTTATAAAGTGCTTTACAAATATTAACTTATTTGAGTCCCATAACAATCCCAAGAGGTAAGTTCTATTATTTTCCCCCATTTTGTAGAGGCAGAAACTGAGACAAACAGAGGTTAAGTCGCTTGCCCAGGGTGTTACAGCTGCTAGTAAGTTTCCAAGGCCACATTTGAACTCAGGTCTTCCTGACTCCAGACCCAGTTGTTGATCCACTGTGCCATCCAGCTAGTCGATGTTGTGATGTGCTCAATGTCACACAGGTACTGGTGGCAGGTTGGGGATTTTGAAGCTAGGCTTTCAGACTCTAATCCCATGGTTCTTTCTAAAATACCCTAATGATGTATTTATCAAGTTTACAGATGATGACAAGAAATTGAGCAGGATCGCTAACATCTTAGATGATAAAATAGAAACCCAAAAGGTTGTGAATGAAGCTTAGGATTTAAGATTGCAAAGCCCTGCACAATAATATCTCTTCTGATCCTCACAATAACCCTGGAAGGTAGGTCTTATAATTATTCCTACTTTATAGATGAGGAAACTGAGGCAAACAGAAGTTAAGTCACTTGCCCAAGGTCACTCAGCTAGTAAGTGTCTGAGGTCAGATTTTCCTGACTCCAGGCCCAGAGCTCTATTCCCTGCACCATCAATTCGCCATATACTGTGCCTAATTCTGAGCACTGAAGTCTAGAGTGTGGAGCAACTCCAGAGATGTGGGGGACCAGGATCATTATGTGGTTTTAAAGCATGGCAAACAAGGATCATTTGAAAATGAGAGGCTTGGAAAAGGGAAGATGGGTGAAGTGATCATTTTAAATACCTAAGGAGGTGTCATATAGAAAAGGTATTCAGCTCATGCTGCCTCACATCAGAGGGCAAAATCAGGATCAATGGGAAGAAGCTGCAATGAAATGGATTTTGGCTAAATTGAAGCAAAAACTTCCTAAATTATCAGAGATAGGCCAAAGGGAAATGGCTTGCCTCAAGAGCTGGTGAGCAGGATCCCCAACAGCAGAGGCTTCCAGTGGAAGCTAAACAAACCATCCATTAGGAATGTTAGACCAGGAATTTCCATTCAAATACAGAGCAGAAGAGACAACATAAGTTCCTACTACGTGTCAGGCACTGTTTAAAGCATGGATGACCTCCAGCTCTTATATCCCTTGACCAAGTGAAGGGCACTGTTCAGGCAAGATTAATTCTGTGAAGAACTAATGGTATCTCTGGAAACCAGAGCACAGACTCCCCCTGAACAGGGCTTTGTGGATACTCCAGATTTTTCTGATGATATATTAAGAAAGACACAGTCCGCTACTATCTCTGTCTCTCTTTCTCTCTATCTCTGGCTCTGGCTCTGGCTCTCTCTGGCTCTGGCTCTCTTTGTCTCTGTCTCTCTCTGTCTCTGGCTTAGGACCTCTCTCCCTGCTTCCCTCCTTCCCTCCCTCTGTCTCTGTTCCCCTCCCCCCTCTTCTTTCTCTTCCCCCAGCTCAATATTCCCTACATCTAATGGGAAAGGCATGCCTCCCCTTAAGAGGTCTTTCACAGCCTAGTTCTGTTGGAGAGAAAATGCTACATTTAAACTTCACTCAGGGCCTACCTCCTCAAATATCAAGGCACTATAACCATTCTTAAGCTCCTACCCACCTTCCCCAGGGAAAGGGATAAACCCAGTGTTGGAGCTGTTGTTTGCAGCTATGGTTTCACCATTGGGGAAAACAAAGCAAACAACTCCCCCCCCCCCATGTCTCAGGCTAGATTTGGGGCAGTGTGGAAGAGTGGCCATTCTCTACTGTGAGATGACAAAGGTGCCTGGAGGCTAGATGCCTTTGGTAGGCAGAGGAGGGAGTGTCGGGTGGGTGTGAGTCTTCGAGTTTCTGTGTTTGGTCCTCTGAAAGGTGAGGGCCAGTCCTGAAGTGAGAAAACATTCTTGAACTCCTTGAATAGGCCCTGCAGGATTGAGGGTGAAGGATTGTTTAGAGCAATTTGGCAGTGGCTTGGCCCCTCATTAAATAGGACATTAGGCACAATTAAGCGGAATGAATCTCATTAAACTCCCAGACCTTGGGTTCCCTTTCCACTTGGTTGCCATTCAGCCCTGACCCTTCCTTCTGCTAGGCCAAGATTCATTAACCTCTTCTGAGAACAGCTGACCCTGGAGCTTCTGTCCCCAGGGAGAGAGCAGGGTTCCCCAGAGGCCCCTGGGAGGGAAAACCTCTGCTTTCTTTTCTCTCCTTGCGTGATGCCTTGGGGCCTGACCCCTGTCAAACCCGAGCAAGTGGTTCCCCAGCACTGTTTTCTCCTCTGGCACTAAGATGGGACAGGCAAGATCCAGGGCTGAGTCAGGAAAGGGCCCTCCTTCAAGCCAAGCCGAGGGAGAGGTCAAAGGGCTACCCCTTGTGGGGAGTTGTTTTTCCTCTGCTTTTCACTCAGGGTCTTGGCCTCTCCCTACAGGGAGCTCTCCCTGAGTCTGAGGTGCTGACAGAGAGGTAGCGGAGGGATAGGTCAGATTAAAGCTAAACCTTCCCAACTGCCTCTAGTTCTGACTATGAAAACTGGCTTAAGCGGCAGCCCCCAGAGTGGAAGACCCTGGGAAAAACCAACCATGAGGAGGTGAGGATGTCCTGGTTCATTGTTCCCAGCTTCTATGGGTCCCTAAAATTCTTCACTTTGGGGTACCAAAGGCTAGAAGGCTGCTGGTGTTCTCATCTGAGCAGCCTACATTGCTGGGGGGGGGGGGTGGAATAGCCCAACAGGAAGCTGGCTCCTTCCCTCCCTTCCAGTGGGAGTGCCCCTTGGCAAAGAAAGAGAAGGCAGGGAAGGAAGCTTGAGAAGCCCCTGCAGAGGAGAACTTTGCCGGGGATGAAGCAGCAGAGTCCTGAGAAAAATGGAGACCTCACTTTTGAACAGTTTTTGAAAAACATTGACACCCGGTTGACCTGAGTACCTGGTGAGGCCAAGGTACATTGAAAAGATTTCCCAGGAATGAATGAACAAACCAAAACATGCCATCTCCCAGTTGGAATACTGATGTGTTTGCACAGCAAACAGAGACTGGGAAATGTACTAAGCTTTGCTCTTCTGTAACGGGTGAGGATAAAAGTCTAGATTCATTTCAGGTCAACAAGTATATTCTGAGCTTCTTATGGTGGGAGCTATGAAAATGTAGAAGGAGGAGGCTTGGTCCCTGCCCTATGGGAGCTTACAGTCTAATCAGAGAGACAAAACTCATGGGTGTAATACAGCACTAACATAAATCACTCTTGTCAATGGGGGAGGTGGAGTGGAATATGTGGCATTGGAGTCTATGGCGCTCTAAACTTGGAGTCAGGGAGACCTGAGTGTGAATCCTACCTCTGACACTTTTTGGCCGCGTGACCCAGGGCAAGTCAATGAAAGCATTCTGTGCTTCAGTTTCCTCATTTGAAAAATAGAGGGTATTAATACCTGTTGTACCCACTTCACAGAGTGGTTGTAACGCTCAAATAAGATAAAATACAAGCAAAGTATTTTGCATTCTATAAAGCATTTTGTCATTTGTTGTTAATGCTTGTCTCCAGCCCTGTTGCAATTTATCCACATGTCCTACCATCATACCAGGCACCTACAGAAGGAGAAAACATCAGCTAGGTGATGAAGACATGGGGAATATCCTTGTGAGAGAGACATTGGAAATGTCAAGATGTGAGGTAGAGAGAAACAGATTTGGCTTGGGGAAAGCAGAGATGCATGGACCATCTTATCTCTTCTGTCTATACTCTCATTTGGTGATCTCATAAATTTTCATCTCTATGTAAATGATTCCAGCCTTAGTCTGTCTCCTGAGCTACAGTCCCCCATTACTAACTGCCTTTTGGATTGCTCAGACTGGATGACTCATAGACATCTCAAGCACAACGTGTCCACAATTGAATCCATTTTCTTTCCCCTCACCCTTCCCTCTCCCCAACTTTCCATTTACTGTAGAGGGCACTACTATTGGCTCACAACCTTGGTCACATCCTTGACTCCTCACTTGTACCCATTCCGCCTATCCAATCCATTGTTATCTTGTCATTCTTACGTTCACTACTCAGTCTCTTCATACTTTTCCGGTCTTCTTACACTTTACTCTTCTACAGGTACTCCTGATCCTGATTTTTGTAAAGGATAGGTCTGATCATGGCACTCACCCCTTCCCACCCCTCAGTGAGATCTAGTGGCTCTTTATTACCCACAGGATTAAATACAAATGCCTTTATTTTGCACTCAAAATTTCTCATAACCTGGGTCCATCTCACCTTTCCAATTTTCTTACACTTTACTTCCCTTCGTGAACTCTATCCAGTTGTTGTTGTTCAGTCATGTTCAATTCTTTGTGACCTCATCTGAGGTTTTCTTGGCAAAGATACTGGAGTGGTTTTCCATTTCCTTCAGCTCATTTTACAGATGAGGAAACTGAGGCAAAGAGGATTAAGTGACTTGCCCAGGGTCACATAGGTAGTAAGTATCTGAGATTAGACTTGAACTCAGGTCTTCCTGACTCCATACCCAGCACTCTGTCCATTGTGCCACCTAGATGCCTTTATAATCCAGCTATTCTGGCCTATTTCCAGGCCTTTGAACATGACACTTCCTCTCTAATCTCTGACTTTGCACTAGCTGTACCACATATCTGGAATACTCTCTCTCATCATCTCTACCTGTTGGTTTTCCCGGTTCCCTTCAAAACGCTG